AACAACAGGCTACAGAGGTTCCCTGAGACAGTCAACTTAGAATTCAACATCATACAGCGTGGGGAGCCCCGAACAGAAGGAGATGAATTCTCTCATCCCAAGAAGAAACTAAGGTGAGAAGAACCCATCAAACATACAGTAATGGTGCTACTATTGGAACAGCTAACGGTTCAGTGCTCCCACTGCAGCACCTGAACCCAAGCAGCGGCAACTTATCAAGCCATCTGAAATCCCGCTGCTTCGACTCACTGGAAATGCAGTTACACTGAGGTCGGGGGTCAGTGAGCTGAACAGAGAGCTGAGCTTGGGAGGAACCTGCATCGACCTGTTCTGAGTGACAGGAATAAAACCATTCCACAGAGAAGGGGGCTCCATCAGACAACATTCTGGGACCAGGTGGGACTGGCAGGAACAAGGGGCAGCAGTGACTTCAGTCAGTTGTTCCCTTCCTGAACAGAATTGGTGGAGTGAGCTTGGCCTGGGTCACGTGACCTGCTAGAGACCCAATAGGTTATCCGAAATCAACTCCCTACAGTGGCGGCACATACTAATGCAGTGAAGGCCTAACCAGGTTGATTCACCCAGAGGGAAGGCGGCACACACAAATACAGTGAAGGCCTCAGCAGTTTGACTGATCCGGAGGGGAGGGGCAAGCATATGCTACCCCAGTCTGCAACTCACTAGCACATTGCAGTGTGAAGTGTCATCTAGCCAGCACGCTTCAGAAGGATTATAACCAACAAAGAAAGAAACTGGGGCCTCCTGGAAGAAAAAAAAAAAAAAAAAAGATGGGAAGAGGAAGCAATAACAAAAAGTCCCCAGGCCCCAACCCTGAGAACATTGACCCAGGACAGGTAAATACAAAGGAGAATGAGAACAGCAAACATGCAATATCAGACACAGCACCAGTGGACATAAAGAGATATATTTGGAACCCTATAGATGATCAAAAGTGAGACATTTAGCCAAATAAAGCAAGATATAAGAAGAATAATAAAAGAGATACTAAGCACCCCTCAAGCAGACACAGATGGAAGAAGGGAGGGACTCAAACACAGGAGAGAACCATTTGATGAAGAATATAAAAAATATAGAATACATCAAGCATATTCAAAGAGATCACCAGGAAATTAAAAACTCTATGGAAAGATGGCAAATCAGCTTGAAAGAAACTAAGTATAGATTATCCAAACTGGAGGACAATTTTGCAATGTGGGACTATGAAAGGGAAAACTTTTTAAAAATAACAAGGAAACAAGCAGTAACAATACAAAGGCTAGAAGACAAAAAAAAGGATGCATAACTTGAGAATAAAAAATGTAAATGAAGAGGCTAGGATACAAACAAAGGAACTACAAAGGTTATTCACAGAAATAATTAAGGAAATTTCCCAAACATAGGAAAAGGAAATGATATTCTGAGATATGAGGCATACAGAACTCCAGCCACCTACAACCAAAACAGAGCTACACCCAGGCATGTAATAATCAAGATCCCAGAAATTCAATATAATAACAGAATATTAAAAGCTGTTAGAGACAAGAAACAGATAACTTACAGAGAAAGGCCCATCAGAATAATGACAGACTTCTCGACACAAACCATCAAGTTAAGAAGAGCCTGGAGTAAAATATTCAAAGCTCTGAAAGAAAATAACCTCTATCCCAGATTGATATACCCTGCTAAACTGTCTCTAGAATTAATAATAATTTAAAAAAGAAAGTCTAACCTTGACCATGTAATCTAAAAATTGTTCCTCTGAAAACCTTGTACTCTACTTGTTTCATAGAATTTACCTACACATGAATTTATGTATATATTTCAGGGTATAGGCACATCATAGATGTGTGTATTCTCGTTCAGAATCTCCATTACCTAGAACAGTGCCTGGCAATAAATAGCTTAACAAATGCCTCCTGATACTGGATAGTTATATCTACATGTGAAGTTTTGTAATTATCCTTGAATTTATACTGTGCTGAGCATTTTCAGTACAACATCCTCAACCTAGAAACACTATCTCCTACATCATGTGGTTTATGGCACTATTACCACTACTCCAAAGAAAAGCAGACACCAGGGTGTAAATATGGAAGAAGTGGGAATTTTTAAGGATCTGGCCCACATAGTTTTGGAGGTTTGGTAAATCTAAAATATGTGAGATAAGCTGGAAACCCAGGGAGGGGTTACAATTTAAATCTAAAGACCACCTGCTGGAAAAATATTCTCCTTTTCCAGGCATCCCAGTCTTCTTAGATTAAAGCTTTCATCTGATGAGGTGAGGCCCACCTACATATGGAGGGCCATGTGCTTTACACAAAATCTACTGATTTAAATGTTAATTTCATCCAAAAAATATCTCCACTGAAATATCAAGAACAATGTTTGGCCAGTATCTGAAAACCATGGGCTAGTATAAAGCTGGCCCTGCCTTCCTCCTTATCCTCCTCTTCTTTCTTCCTTCCCTTTCATAAGGAGAGAGGGTGCCATCTGGTCTCAGTTTTATTTATTCTATCTGCTGTCTTACCATCCTCTTACTATCCTCTTACTATCCTTCATCCTCTTACTATCCTCACCCCAGAAACTTTAGGAGGTGCATGAGCTGCGACATTTGGCCCCTGAACAGGGACCCAGGGAATGAGGACACACATCATATTGTAAGGAAGAGGAGACCTCTAGCTGTGCACACACAAAAAGAGAGAAATAGGCTCCAGCAAAGCCAAAGAGAGAAACAGGCTCAAGAGAAGAAAAGTGGGCTCACTAGGGCCAAAGAGAAAAATGGGTTCATTAGATCCAAAAGAAAAAACAAGTTCATTGCAGTCAAAAGAACAAAACAGGCTCATGAAAAACAAAGGAGAGAGAGGTATATTGATTTTATCAGGTGTTAAACATGAGGCTAATAGGTTCTTGAGAACAACAGATGTATACATAAATCCTCATTCTAGTATGGGTTTTCTTTCTTTCTTTTTTGTGGATCTGAATCAGAGTGTGTTGACGGTCATGTACCTAGTGGAGGATTTGGCTTGGAGCACTACTTTAAAATTAAGTCCTAGGCAGAAAACAGAAGGCAGAGCAACACTCTCCCCACCCCAGTAGAGTTTAAACCCTCTATTTTGGTCAGTCAGATAAGGAAGGAGCTATGAGGGACAAAAAGAAATAGCAAAGTATGTTTAAGACTAGGGGATTGGTTACAGTGGAAGGCAAATTTTTTGGATTTGTGCATGGATTAGGCTGCCTGCACATTACAGTGCCATGGAAGGGAGGAACACGGCCAAGTGAAGGCCCTCCTGCATCGACATGCCAACCAGCCACACCCACAACTCCTTGCACCCCATACTCAGCTTGGAGCCATGAAAGCCACGGAAGCCTAAGTCAGAGAAAGGAAAAACCGGGGGGGGGGGGAATGGGAGCTGTGGCTGCAGAGGCAATGACTGTGGCATCTTTTGGGGAGCAGGTGCTGGCAAATCCAATTTGGAGATGGAGCCCATCCCCAGCAGTGAGGCAGGCACTGACGCCTTCCTATCACTGCCACTGAAGAATCAGTGCTAAACCATAGGGCCAATGAGCCACCACTCAGGGGAGCTCACCCACAGCCCTGAGGCAATGGGGCAGGAGCCACAGCCAGAGGCAAAAGCAGCAAGGCACCAAATACAAGATATTAGGTTTTTTCTTCTGTTCAACAGACTGAATTTCAGGCTGTTATATGGGCCTTACAAGATCATTCATCTACTCCAATTAACTTCTTTTCAAACAGCACTTATATTTGTGATGTGATGTGCCATCATTCACACTAACCAAAAAGATCTTTTTCATTTATTTCATACTGTCTAATTTGCCATTCAGTCATGCCATGTGCCTTATTTTATTGGTCATTTACATTCCCATTCCCAGTAGCCAGGGCCTCTCACTTAGGGAGATGCTACTATAAGCAGATTGCTGATTACTGTCGTATTGCTCCCTCAGATACTGTTCAACAGGCTTCTGCCTCCGTGCCACGTTCCTCACGCATAATACACCTTCCCTTACTCCCTATGGAAGCTAATTCATGAGGGTTTCACCCCAATCACCTCTGGAAAATGGATGTCATTCATATTCCTGAGTTTGGCTCTCTATACTGGATCCATATTTCAGTGGATACTTTCTCAGAATTATTGCTTCTGCCCACACTGGCTAAATATGTCACTGCTCATCACTTGGATATCGTTAGTATCTCTGACTATGGACATTTAAGACAGACAATGAATAGCTTATATGCGTAATTATTTCCAAATGTTTTGTAAAACTTTTCACATTTCCCTAACCAGAGGAATTCCTTGTAACCCTCAAGGTCAACAACTTGTTGAACGTACTCACTGTACACTCAAAATTCAAATACAAAAACAAAAGGGGGAATCCTTTCTCATAAAAATTCCCACCTCATAATAGACTTCACTTGGCATTGTATACTATTAATGCTTTAAATCATACAAGGGATGGAACTACAGCTGCAGAAAGAAAATTCAACTAGGTAAAAGTAAAGAGACTAGGAAGGTTTATTTGGAAAGATCTTCATACTGGATAATAGAATGGACTCAATCCACTAATCACTCAGAGTGGAAAGTATGCTTGTGTTTTTCAAGAAGATGCTGACCATCTATGTGGGTGCCTGGGTGTGCTATTTGGTTGTATCATGGACCCAGACCCAGAGAAGGAGTGGTTCCACCTCTCGAGGAACTGTTGCTTAGTCCTATGGCAGTGATGCCTTGGAGACTGCTCCACAAGTGATAGACAAGGATGGGTCTAAATATGACCTGGGAGAAATTAAAGAAATTTACCCAGGATGCCCAGGAGATGGAAACCAAAAATTGGGAAAAGAATATCTGAGGAGGTGACAGAGTGTACGGAGACAGCTGAACTGAAGGCTACGTGAAAAGGATTAAAAAATTGTCAGTATTCTTAAGACAAAATAAAACACAAAATTATATATTAATTATAAATAAAAGATTTTATTACTCCCAAATTCTTCTTATAAGAGATTATAATTGACCTACAAATAATTCTGACTAATCTATTTATAATTATAAACTTCTAAGATTGTAAAAGAGTTACTGTAATTCAGTTTGGCCAAAAATGTGTTTCTATGCATTCTGATATTTTAAGCCAATTATCTATGTATATTTGGTTTTTTGTTTGTTTCTTTGTTTTGTTTTGTTTGTCTTTTTCGTTTTCATCGGTACCAGGGATCGAACTCACGACTGCCTGCTTGCAAGGCAGGCGCTTATGCCACTGAGCTAAATCCCCAGCCTCAGTATATTTGTTTTTCCATTTGTCTTATCTGTGAATAGCTGTTTTTTATTTGAGCCCAGTAATTCTTTTCTCTTCTTTTGTGTTTTTGGACCATTTGTCCATAATGTAATTTAGTTTATAAATTTAAAAGGTATGCTCTCACCTGGGTTGACAACTAGTAAAAATGACACAAACATAGGTCATCAGAAATTTGTTAAGTTACCTAAATGCAGACCCTTCAGACTTAGAAAATCATCGGTCAGGGATTCCTTTGCGGAATAAAGGAGCAATTGCCTGGGGAAAATTATCCTACACTGTATTCATTAGTAGGAAGTCCCAATGATCTCTGGACACCCGCACCCCCTCAGTAAATTGGTCATCAGCAAAAGGTTAAGTTTTCTAGAAATTATATAATAAGATTTCCTCACAAAATATGCTCTTGGTACTTAACTAAGTTAAGAAACTTAAGTTGTTCACATGGTTATGATAATTCATTGTTAATGCCATGCTGCATTAAATGTATTCGTGCCTTCAAGGTGTGCTATCTTCTGAAATGGAACACTGGAATTGTTTACAGTAATAAACCTTTTCTTTCAGATTCAGAAATTTGTCTTTCTTTTGTGCTTCAATTAATTGTGATAGGAGGATCACGTCAAGCCAACATGAAGTCACCAGTCAGTAATAATAAAAACTTAAGTGATGTGTGTGCTATATATACTTAGAGGTGCCTAGACATTAAGTGGTCCAGACAATGTCACAAATTTCCTCAGTGACATCCCATTAAAGGTCAATGAGTTAGATAAAACCTTATTATATATTACATAGAGGTGATTGATTAAAAGTGATATACTATGTCAAAATGGAAATTTAAGTATGCCACAAAAGTGTCATCATGACTGTCATGCTACAACATAGTTTATGATTTTGATTTCAAATTTTCTATGTGAAGTTATATGACTGTTGCCTGTTAGCATTCTACAGAGATTCAACCAGTAGAACACCCATCGTTGTTAAAAAATAATGGTTCTATTTTATGTTCCAAGATGCTTGATATTCAGATAAAACAGTAGTATTAAGCTCACTGCCCCCATTACAAAATGTTAAGTTATTAACCTTCTCTTCTGTATATTCAACAACTGAGGTATATAAGCAAAAATCTAGAAAGACAGACAGGCTAAGAGGACAGACAGCATTTTTGCCCTAGCCCTTAGAAGTCAATGAGGACCCACCACATGAGAGAACATTTTCAGTGATATCCACAACTCTAGTGAGCTGTAAAAATCCTGATCAAGGAGATTATAGGACAAGAGAAGATAAAGATTCATGGCATATAGTGTGCCTAAGGAGAGTCACTAGGAAAAGTGTCTCCCAAGCTTTCACAGAAAGCAACTTGGTCAAGCAATGACCATGACTCATCCAGATGGCTGACACTGATTGAAGAGCTAGAGGTGCTGTATATGGTTCCAAGGTAAATCCTGAGGAAACTTAACTGACCTTGTTAATAGCAAAACTTGATCAATCTTAATTTGGTCTTACATATCCAGCAGAAAAGTATAACCACAAGAGGTATAAAATAATTGCCCAGTACACTAGTAACTGATCACTATTCTGGGTTAATGCATTGTACAATATTAAATTGCTATATGAAGGAATTTAAAATCTTTGGACTGCAAATCTTTAGCCTAGATTGAGCAAGTTCATCTAGAATGAAAAGGGCTTGAAAATAAAAAGATCTTGTACACAATCCTCAAAACACAGCTCATCCAGCTCCAAATGATCACCTATTGTAACTACAAAACAGAAAAGGGGATACATAAAGGGCAGCTGAAGCTGGAGTTTGATCACACACGTGGGATTGGAGCAAGGCCAGCCTCAAGCAGAGAGTGCCTGAGGCAAGTCACATGAATAAGCTGCTCTCAAGAACACTGGGCACGCCAGGCAAACCACGTGGATAAACTATCAGGCAGAGGGGTTTTACATGACATTCAATCTCTGCGGTGTACAATAAGTGTGTTGTAGCCATTGAGGCCCTTCCTCCTTCTCCTCTTTTTTCTTCCTTCCTTACTTTCTATCAGGCGGAAGGGCTCCATCTGGCCTCAGTTTTCTGTAAAAAAGAAAAGAAAAAAAAAAAAAATAAAGAAGAGAAAAGAAAAAAAGCTGACCTTAAGAGACCCGCCCAGGTGGGGAGTCCTCCATTTGCACCTCCCATTCTTGTTCCTGTTTTGCAGAGCTGCTTGTTTCCTTCAGGATTCGGCTGATCCCAGTGGTCACCTTATTTCATGCCTAAATCTTAGGCATCATGCAAGGACTCCACTGTACCAGCAAGGCAAGGAGTGTCCTGCAGACTTCCCAGTCCCCTCCACTCTTGTTTGGTCCTGAGTGCCTTTGGCCATATGACTAAAATTCCTACACCCCAACTCCATCACTATGAATTTTCTCTACATTCAGATTCAGTGAAGTTTTTCTCATTCTTTTAAAAACTACATTTCATCTTATGCATCTGAAGTGGAAAAGCACATGCATGCTCACTCTAATGTCTTGATTAGAAGTTGGTGAGAATTAAACAGATCTGAGAGATGGAGAAAGCATTGTGGATCAGGGAAGCCAGAGCACAGTGGGGATGAGCGTGTCCCGTGCAGAGGAAAGCCAGAAACCCGTCCTGAGCATTGTGATTTGTGAGCACCTGCTACATTCTGGAGGCGGTGTCAGTGCTGGGTATTATGACTGTGAGATATAGGTGCTCTTGCTCTCAGGGACCCTTGCAGTCAGACTACAGGAGAAGCTTGAGCAGATGTAAATGGGATCTGATATTTAAATAGGCACATTTTAGAATGCCTTAGGACTCTGAAAAGGGATTTTGACTTTATTTTCTATAAAGCTGTATGTAATAAAGCTCTATAAAGCTTTATTTTCTGTGGCTGTAGGTTTGAGGGGATGGAGAGTTTGATCATGTGCTTAGAGTTGTGTTACAAGAAAACAATAGAAACCCAAGCAGGGCATAGGATTTGATATGTATAGGGAATATAATTCCTGGTGACCTTTGGATAGTACTGATTTATAACTCAGGCCCAGTTTAGTTTTTCTGTAACTCACCTTTCCATTTACAAAGTGTCCTACTTGAATAGAAAATCACATGACCACCTAGCTAGACGTTTGAGTGTGAGCTTCCTGAGGATAGGCCCTGTGGCTCTTTGCACAGAATTTTGCTATCTGTCAAAAATTAATGACAATAACAAAGGAATTAAAAAGACCAGTTAGTCAGGCAGCAAGAAATCAAGGCAGTCTAGGGAGCTGGCCATGGTGGTATATGTGGTAATCCTAGCACTTAGGAGTCTGAAGCAAGAGAATCTCAAATTCAAGCCCAGATTAGGCCGCGTTACAAGGCTTGTCAAAAAATAAATAAATAAATAAATGTAATGTAGGATTTATGAAAATATGATTGTAAGCAGGAGACTGGGATAACAGAATCCAGTGTTTCAGGGAAGGCAAGAACATTAGAAGAACTAAAATAAACACAGGTTTGCACATACATGGCTAATTCCAGCCTGGGGCAGACAGGGTTAAGGCAAGTCCAGAACATTTGGAGTCAAAAAGCAAGAAAGCACCAAAAGGTTCAATGGGCCTCTATAAAAAGACATAGGAGCTCGTTTAAAGGAATTCCCACTGACGACTTCTGCATGGATTCAAGGATCCAAACCAATTATGATGGTGTTGAATTATAGCATAGAAGGAAAAGAAAAGAAATCTCGAGCCCACTGAACAAAGGGGGAGCAGGGAGAGTTCCTTTTTACGTGGGAGCATCAGCTAATAACTGAAGAAGGGACTGAACCATTTCCACTTTGCCATCATCACTGAAGTAACTGGATGCAAAGATAATCTGTACATGTTAGAACCAGGAGAGAAAAGTTATTTGGAACAGGATATTCACACGGTCTCAAAACATTACTTAACCACAAATGGGGAAAGGTACTTTCACAATGGGGAAAGTTGGCAGACAACATAGAAACAAACTTAACTTCTTTTAAAAAAGGGAATGAAATTGACATCATGAAGTGATGCAACTGGAAGCACTCAAAATTATTTGTGTGGTATTCTTGCGAAAACAAAAAAGAAAACCAATGTTTAACCCATATCTAAACATGACAAGAGCAATCAAACAAATCTAGAATGAAGGGCATTCTACACATCAATTGACTTAATGGGTCAGAAAAGGTCAGCTATGATACAACCCCATAAAAGGAAATGGAACATTCTAGAATCTTGGTTGTAGAACCTTGATTAAGACCACCAATCCACAGAAGCTGTCCTTGTTCCTTTTCAGTCACACTCCCCCAGGAGGTGCATACATTTCCACAGGAATGCCTGAGAGATACTTTAGTATTGGCCATACTGGATGGTTTTGTTTTGTTTTGTTTTTGTTTTGTTTTTGTACTAGAGATTGAACACAGGGCGTGCTGAACAACAATCTTTTAAAATCTTATTTTGAGACAAAATCTTCATAAATTTCTCATGCTGCCCTTAAACTTTCAATCCTTATGCTTTAGTTTCTCAAGTAACTGAGATTAAGAAGCAAAACAAACAAAAATAATGTGTGAAATGTATTTGGATCCTGGATTCTAAAACTACAAAAATAAGAACAACAATTAAGTATTTGAAACAAAGCACTTAGCTGAAATGTCATGATAATAAACCACTTTTCATATTGCTCTGCCAAAACACACACACACACGTGCACACACACACACTCCTATGTGGGAAAGGGGTGTTACGGAATGCACACTGCACAGCATTCACAGGTGGTGACTAAATGAGCACACACTGTGCTGTGCTTTTAGCTTTCCTAGAGAATGGAAACTTTTCAAAATAAAAAGTGCAGGTAAGAGTATGTGATGGCAATGACAAGGGCAGCTGCCAGGCTTCAAGGACACAGTTGCTCTGGAACGTGGCGAGAAATCAATTGCTACGGGTCAAACAAGTAAGGGAGAGAAAAGAGGTCAAAGGGAAAACTGTCAGTAAGGGCAAGCTTGGAGAAATAGGACAGTAACAGAGAAGTAAAAGCATCACATGAAAGTTGCTTGGGCTGTTTCTCTGAAATAGAAAGTTGTGCAGAGAAGAGGAAACAAGTGGAAATGAAGTGGCGGATGGCAGGCAGGGGAAAGGGTTAGGGTAGGGTTGGATATGCTGGGACCTCCCTTCCCCGCCCCTAACCCAGGACACCCTCCCTAAGACTGGGGGTTGGATCCTGTCCCCTGTCCATGCAGTCTGCAGCTCTTGTCCCCTAAAAGCTACAAAAGGATTTCATTCCCCACCCACAGAGGTCACTGCTTATTCCCCTGTAGCCCCTTCCAGGGGGTGCACGCATTTCCTCAAGGGATGCCTTAGAGAAACTTGGTTACTGGCCTCACTGGATGTTTTTGTCTTTTTTATTAGCAATTGAACACAGAGAGTGCTGAATAAAAATCTTTTTAAAACCTTATTTTGCAAAAGAATCTCCACAGATTGCTTCAGTGCTCTTAAATTTGCAATCCTCCTGCCTCAGCCTCTGAAGTAGCTGAGATTATGAGACATTATGCCTGGCACATTAAGCATTTTTAAATAATTTCCTGAAGAGGCCTCTGATATTTCAGAGTCTGAGAGAGATGCCTTACATTGTTTATGCTTATGGTGGTACTTTTTGCATAATTTTACTTAGCATCTACTCATTTCCTTTAATTGAATATAGTGTATTTATGTCTTACAGGATTTTCATCCACACAGACACAAGCACACACACCCAATAATACTTTCTTCTCTCCTTCTCCCCATGCAATTAAAGCAGAATCTGGCTAATTAATTATTCATTATTTACATTTTGATTTATTGTGTCAGTTTAATAAGCATTTACATAATGCTTACTATGTGTCAAGCATAAAGGGCTTTCTAAATATTCGCTTCTTCTTTGGTTTTTAGTTGAATGTGAAGTATTACTTGCTGCTGAGCTATAAAGCTTATTGAAATAATAAGTAATTTCCCATATGATATTTTGCTTCATAACTTTCGAAATTACTTAAAATTTTTTTGTCAGGCAGGGTGGCACACAGCTGTAATCCCAGCACTCAGAAGACTAAGACAGGATGTTTTCTGTGAGTCCAAGGCCAACCTGGGCTACAAAGAGAGTTCAAGGTCAGCCAGAACTGCATTGCAAAACCCTGTCTCAAAATAAATAAATACACAAAAATAAAAAAGGAAAAAAATTGTTTTCCAGTTTTTAACTCCTTTCCTATTCTGCTTCTCAGGAAACTTTCTCAACTTTATTTTCTCATTTTTCTGTTGATTATTTGAAATCACTGTTAATTTAATTTCCAAATAGGTCTGTTCTTTGTTGAATAACATTCTAATCTCATTTCATAAATTCTGTGCTTTCTCATGTGCTCCTGATGGCATCAAGACTTTGCTATTGTTGTTTTAATGCTTTCTTTACCCCCAGCTTTGTATCTGGTGTGAGTATGTGTGTGTGTCTTGTTTCGGTCTTTTGGGCTTTTTACATTACAAGCTTCCCTCAAATATCTGGGTATCTTTGTCTCTCTATTAATATTTAAGAATAAAGGAAGTACTATTAAGAGTAAAGGGAGTATAGTTCAGTGGTGGATCATGTGCTTTGCACACTTGTAAAGTGCCAGAGTATATGAGTATAGCACTAAAATGTTCACGGGGAGCTCTTAGTACATGGGAAGATAATGACCAGTAATGAGCTACAGCTAGTCTTTTTAAATTTTTTTGCTCCTGTCTGCGATATTGAAACATTTATATTTCCTGTTCCTTTGGTTTCCTTGATGATGATTCCTTCCTTTTCCTTCTGGGCAATGTAAGCCAGGCTACCTGGAGACCAAGAATGGGAAGGGCCTGGGAATGATACCTCTAGGGTTTTCATTGACTACCCACTGGGCCCATTCCTGTCCTCTCCAATTCAGTTTTTGCTGGCAATCAATACCTATCTTGTGCCAGTGTGGTTTGGAGGGAGAGATACTAGGTGCGTGGCAATGTGCTTCAGTGCATATGTGTCCTGGGCTTAGTCCCAGAGGAAGGGAGGTCTCAATATGTTTATTAAGACTTTTATTCAATGTT